AGAAGATGTAGGCAGTCCTAATTAGATTTGATTGACTGGAGTCAGAAAGTAGGGGAGAATGGGCCCTCCTTTCTGAGAAACAGGGGAGGGGAATAGGAGGTAAGAGCAAGGAAGGAGGATACAATTGGGATTAAAAGTGAATAAACAGCTGATTAACATCTTGAGCAAAGTGGCTGGATATAAAATTAACTCAAAGTCAGTAGCTCTCCTGTATACAAAAGACAAAAAGGCCAAGAAAGAAATAGGGAAACAACACAATTCACCACAGCCACAAAGGACATAAGGTACATTGGTGTGAACCTAACCAAGCAAGTCAAAGACTTGTATGAAAAAAATTTCCAGTCTCTGAAGAAAGAAGTTAGAAGAAGATATCAGAAGATGGAAAGATCTCCCATGCTCATGGCTTAGCAGGATTAATATAGTAAAAATGGCCATCTTACCAAAAGGAATCTACAGATACAATGCAATTCCCATCAAATTCCAACACAATACTTTACAGAACTTGAAAGAAAAATTCTCACCTTTATATGAAACAACAAGAAAACCAGAATTGCTAAAAACAATCATCTACAGTAAAAGATCTTCTGAAGGTATCTCCATCCCTGATCTCAAGCTGTACTATACAGCAACAACACTAAAAAGTACATGGTACTTGCATAGAAACAGACTGGCAGGTCAATGGAATCAAACAGAAGAGCCTGAAATAAATCCACGCACTATGGAAACCTGATTTTTGACAAAGAGGCCAAAATTATTCAGTGGAAAAAAGACAGCATCTTCAACAAATGCTACAGGTCTAACTGGATGTCTACATGTAGAAAAATGAAAATAGATCCATACTTATCACCCTGCACAAAACTAAATTCCAAGTGGATCAAGACCTCAATATAAAACCAGACACACTAAACCTCTTAGAAAAAAAAAGGGGAAGAGCCTTGAATGTATTGGCACAGGAGACAACTTCCTGAACAGAACACCAACCACACAGGCTCTAAGAGCAACAATCAATAAATTGGATCTCATGAAACTGAAAAGCTTCTGTAAAGCAAAGGACACTGTCGTCAGAACAAAACGATTGCCTAGGATCTTCACCAACCCTATATCTGACAGAGGACTAATATCAAGTATATATAAAGAACTCAAGAAGTTAAACAGCAACAAATCAAGTAATCTAATGAAAAAATGGAGTACAGAGCTAAACAGAATTCTCAATAGAGGAATATTGAATGACAGAGACACACTTAAAGAAATGTTCAATGTCCTTAGTCATAAGGCAAATGCAAATCAAAACGACCCTAATATTTCACCTTAAACTCATCAGAATGGCTAAGATCAAAAACTCAAATGACAACACATGCTGGAGAGGTTGTGGAGAAAGGGGAACCCTCCTCCACTGCTGTTGGGAATGTAAACCTGTACAACCACTCTGGAAATCAATCTGGCGCTATCTCAGACAACTAGGAATAGTGTTTCCTCAAGATCCTGCTATACTATTCCTAGGTATATACCCAAAAGAGGCACAAGTACACAAAAAGGACATTTGCTCAACCATGTTTGTAGCAGCTTTATTTGTAATAGCCAGAGGCTGGAAACAACCCAGATGCCCCTCAGTGGAAGAATGGATACAGAAATTGTGGTACACCTACACAATGGAAAATTACTCAGCAATGAAAAACAAGGAAATCATGAAATTACCAGGTAAATGGTAGGAACTGGAAAAGATCATCCTGAGTGAGCTATCCCAGAAGCAGAAAGACACACATGGTTTATACTCACTCATATAGACATATAATATAGGATAAACCTATGAAAATCTGTACACCTAAAGAAACTAATCAAGAGGGAGGACTCTGACCATAATGCTCAATCCCTATCCAAAACAGCAAAGAGGATAGACATCAGAAGAAGGATAAAAGAGGGAACGAGTCAGGAGCCTGACACAGAGGACCTCTGAAAGGCTCTGCCCTGCAGACTATCAAAGCTGTTGCTGAGACTTATGACAAACCTTTGGGCAGATTGCAGGGAATCTTTTGAAAGAAGTGGGAAACAGTAAGATCTGGAGAGGACAGGAACTCCACAAGGAGAGCAACAGAACTAAAATATCTGAGCACAGTAGTCTTTCCTGAGACTGATACTCCAACCAAAGACTATGCATGGAGATAACCTAAGACCCTTGCACAGATGTAGCCCATGGCAGTTCAATATCCAAGTGGGTTTCATTGTAATAGGAACAGGGACTGTCTCTAATATGAACTGATTGGCCTGCTCTTTAATTACCTCCCCCTGAGGGGGGAGCAGCATTACCATGCCACAGAATAAGACAATGCAGCCACTCCTGATGAAACCTAATTGACTAGGATCAGAAGGAAGAAAAAGAAGACCTATTCTATTAGTGGACTTGGGGAGGAGCATGTGTGCAGAGCGGGAAGGAAGAGAGGGATTGGGAGGGGAGGGGGGAGGGAACCACAGGGAGGATACAAAGTGAACAAAGTGTAATTAATAAAGAATAAAAAAGTGAATAAATAATAAAAACGGTATTTATATTTAAAAATTAGTTAAGACTTACCACCAGATTACAAGACACACAAGAAAGAATGTCACGTCTTGAAAACAAGAGAGATGGAATAGTTTTCTCAAAGAAACAGCTAGGTCTAAAACAATATCAAGACACAAAACATGAAGGAATCCACACATACTATCAAAAGACCAGTCCTGTGATTAGCGTGGATAGAGGAAAGGAAACAATCTGATAAAAAGCCCAGAAAATACATTCAACAAAATCATAGAAGAATATTTCTCTAATCTAAACAATGATATACCTGTAAAGCAATGTACAATACCCATACAGAATACAAAGTGGACTAAAATGGAAGCATAACACAAAACATATCAAACAAAACATTCAATATAAATGGAGGGAAGGTTTATTAAAGGATTTAATGGAAAAAGATAAAGTCACATGTAGAGCAGGACCATTAAAATAACACCTGATTTCTCAGTGAAGCCCCTGAAACAAAGGTCCTGAAAGGATATTCTGCAAACTCTGGGGGAACATAGGTTTCAGCCAACACTACTATACACAACAAATCTACCAAGAACAATACACAGAGGAATAAAAACATTCCACAGTGACATGGACCTACACATGTAAGGGTCAGGAATGATGAAAAGTCAAGTGGAAGAAGAAAGAAAAGAGGAATTAAAAAGAGAAAAGGAAAATTTGGGACCAGGAAGGCTTGCATGAATTGATTTATATGTCAAGCAAGTTTGTTAAGAAGTGTAGCATCAAGGAAATCATGAAATTTGCAGGTAAATGGTGGGATCTGGAAAACATCATCCTGAGTGAACTATACCAGAAGCAGAATGATGCGGACAGTATATACTCACTCATATAGACATATAATATAGGATAAACCTACTAAAATCTGTACACCTAAAGAAACTAATCAAGAGGGAGGACTCTTGCTAAAATGCTCAATTCCTAACCAGAAAGGCAAAAAGGATGGACATCAGAAGGATAAAAGAGGGAACAAGTCAGGAGCCTAAAACAGAGGACCTCTGAAAGACTCTGCCCTACAGACTATCAATGCAGATGCTGAGACTCATGGGCAACCTTTGGGCATATTGCAGGGAAACTTATGAAAGAAGTGAAACAGTAAGATCTGGAGAGGACAGGAACTCCACAAGGAGAGCAACAGAACCAAAAAATCTGAGCACAGCGTTCTTTTCTGAGACTGATTCTCCAACCAAATACCATGCATGGAGATAACCTAAGACCCTTGCACAGATGTAGCCCATGGCAGTTCAATATCCAAGTGGGTTCCATTGTAATAGGAACAAGGACTTTCTCTGACATGAACTGATTGGCCTGCTCCTTAATTACCTCTTCCTGAGGGGGAAGCAGCATTTCCAGGCCACAGAAGAAGACAATGTAGCCACTTCCGATGAGACTTAATTGACTAGGGTCAGAAGGAAGGAAAATAAGACCTCCCCTATCAGTGGTCTTGGGGAGGGGCATGCATGCAGAGGGTGGAGGAAGGGAAGGTTTGGGAGGGGACAAGGGAGGGAACCAGAGGGGGGATACATAGTTAATAATGTTTAATTAATAAAGAATTTAAAAAATAAAAAAAAAAAGAAGGGAGTTGCTGGATCCATGTGAAAAGAGAGCTAAATCAGACACTCTAGGCAAAGAAAACACAGGATGCCTCAGTCACAACTGCCCTAGCACTGACATCATTCATGACCCTTCAGAGGAGAAATCCCAGTTGTCAAGGTCTGAAATCTTAACTTCTTCAAGGCTCAGGCCCCATACTCAGACTGTTCCTTGCCAAGGCTACCTTGAACAACAACAAAGAACTAATATTCTTATTGTCTTTTCTTGAGGGCCTCTGAGAGAACAATGGGTCTGTCTGGCCCTTAAAATGCTCCCTGTGGTGTTTTTTTTTTTTTTATGTATGATGTATGTACATGTATTTGAATAGCAATTTGACTCCAAAATCCTGTAAACCAGTAATTGTGTCCTAATATTTTCAAACAATATTTAGCACAAATGCTCTAAGCATTATAGTGAATGAATGCAGATGGCTGATAAAGGGATTTAATGCTTTCAACTTGTATAGTAAATCTTTGGCAAACTCTGAAGGAATTGAATGCAAGATGAGCACTTTCCAGGTCAGTAACCAATGGCAAGAGGATTCTTAAATCTAAACTCATGATGCTGTAATATTTGTAAATGATTTTAAATTCTATCCCCCCTTTTTTTTTACAGACTCACTATAGTCTAAAGACCTAACATAGAGATCTCTAAAACAGCATGACTCTGTAAATAAAGTTCACTGATGCTTTTTGCTGGTATTGTATCCTCTCAGTGTAACACCCCAACTTCTAAATATCTTAACTTAGCTTCTCACTTTTTATCTATCTGTACCTTTGTTGCCAAAACTATAAGAAAATGAATGCCATCTCTTGATCAATTTTCTGCAGTATGTTTTACCAATTAGTCATGCATAGAATATCTCAAGCAGAAGAAGGAAGTGTACAGACCAAGGGCTATGTGTGCTGCAGTCAGTTGGTGAATCTCTCAATGAGGTTTTTGTTAGAGGCTGAAGCACTGTGGGAGGAATACTGTAACCCTGCTGACAGTAGTAAACTGCCAGGTCTTCAGCCTGCACACTGCTGATGGAGAGAGTGAAATCTGTCCCAGATGCACTGCCTGTGAAGCGATCAGGGACCCCAGTGTCCCGAGTGGATGCATAGTAGATCAGCCGCTTAAGGGATTGCCCTAGTTTCTGCTGGTACCAAGCTACATAGCTACCCACACTCTGACTGGACTTGCAGCTTAAACTGATTTTGTCTCCTACAGATGTGGACATGGTTTCAGGAGACTGGGTCATCACAATGTCCCCTTCAGCACCTGCAATCAGAAAAAGACAAAGAGCATACACATATACATAAAATGAATTCCAGATACAAATGTTGGGATCGAAAACACCTTTTCTAATGACATTGCCAACACACTACTGGATTCCATTAGTAAATATCTGTATCTCTACAAATGAATTATATTGCTGATACTCTAATATGCTGTAATGTCTCACCAGATATCCAGAGGAGCAAGAAAATGAAGACCTGGGTCTGTGCCTCCATCTTCATACCACTGCCTGTCTGATACTTTTCAGTTCTCACTTCAAAACCCAGGTTTATAAAATATGGGCAGCTGAGCTGGATTGTAAGAACCTATGCAAATAATTATCAAGTAAGAAAGGAAATAGCCTGGGTACTGCATTGTGAGAAGATCCAGGGTAAATTTATAGCCAAAACTATCGTCACAGTGAGCAAGAAAACACGGCTAGAAAAAGTCAACATAAAATTTCAAGAACCAACTTAGAGCTCTCAAACCACAAATATTGAGATGCACTCATGACACACTTTTGTTAACAATAAAAATTTTTATGTCAAATAAGTTCCACAGAAATAATACTAGAAAACTTTTGATTACAATTCTGAGGAAACAATAAATATCCTGATCAACAACAGCAGAAAGAAAATGGGGAAGGGAAAAAGAAGAAAAGAGGGAAAAAATGAGGACAGAGAAAAGAAAGAAAGGAGAGGATGTAAAGAAGAAAATGTAAATCTGGTTTGGGGAGAAATGGTTAACATGGAGAGGAGATTAAGGAAGAAGAAGAAAAAAGGGGGATAAATATTAAAACAGAATGATTTAGGGGTAGAGTATCAGGTCAGAGTTTATGAGTATTTGTTTCTCTTGTAAACGGCTCTCGTTTGATTCCAAGCAATTGTTTGATAATTCTCAGCCATCTATAATTCCAGTTATGGCACACACATGGTATATATACATACCTAGATACATACATACATGTCTAAATGCATACATAGAGATGCAGATGTGAGCCATGAGCTTCTGCTTAAACAACTGCTAGGTCTGCTGCATATATTTTGCTATCATGGATTTTAATTCTCTGAAAGCCCCAATGAACACTTTCCTTAAAAGTTGCTTTGGTAATTCTACACAGTGGAATATTACTCAGAAAAAAAGGAACTCATGAAATTTGCAGGTATGGTGGAAACTGGAAAAGATCATCCTGAGTAAGCTATCCCAGAAGCAGAAAGACACACACGGTATATACTCAATACTCACTCATATAGACATATAACATAGGATAAACCTACTAAAATATGTACACCTAAAGAAACTATTCAAGAGGTAGGACCATAATGATAAATCCCTATCCAAAACGGCAAAGAGGATGGACAACAGAAGAAGAAGAAAACTGGAAACAAGTTAGGAGCCTGCCACAGAGGGCCTCTGAAAGGTTCTGCCCTGCAGACTATCAAAGCAGATGCTGAGTCTTATAGCCAACTGTTGGGCAGAGTGCAGGGAATCTTATGAAAAAAGTGGAAAACAATAAGATCTGGAGAGGACAGGAGCTCCACAAGGAGAGCAACAGAACCAAAATTTTGAACAAAATTTCCCAAGACTGATAATACAACCAAGTACCAGGCATGGACATAACCTAGAACCCCTGCACAGATGTAGCCCATGGCAGTTCAGTGTCCAAGTGGGTCCCATAGTAATGGGAACAGGGGCTGTTTCTGACATGAACTGATTGGCCTGCTCTTTGATCACCTCCCCATGATCGGGGTGCAACCTTAACAGACCACAAAGGAAGACAATGCAGCCACTCCTGATGAGACCTAATAGGCTAGGATTCAGAAGGAAGGAAAAGAAGATCTCAGTTATCAGTGGACTTGGGGAGGGGCATGTGTGGAGAAGGGAGAGGAAAGGACGGATTGGGAGGGGAGGAGGGAGTGAACTACAGGAGGATACAAAGTGAATAAACTATAATTAATAAAAAATTAAAAAAAATAAAAGTTGATATCTAAGAATAATAAGAATATTATTCTTAAAAGAAGATTCCTGGCTTCAAGGTCCAGAAAATATTTAAAGAAAATCACAAAAGAAAATTTTCCCAACTTAAAGAAAAAGATGTTCATAAATATACAATAGGCCTAGAGAACACCAAATTGACTAAACCAGAAATGAAACTACACACATCACATCATAGTCAAAACAATAAATCAACAGAACAGAGAAAAAACATAAAAAGAAGCAAGGGAAAAAAGGCCAAGTGATATAAAAGGGTAGACAATAAGAATCACAGAAGTTTTTTCAACAAAAACTATGAAAGCCAGAAGTGCCTGGGCAGCTGTCATGCAGACTCTGAAGGACCACAGATGCCAACACAGACTACTATACACAACAAAGCTTTCAATCAACATGGAAGAAAACAAAATATTCCATGACAAACTAAAACTAAAACAATATCTACAGTGCAACAAAGCCCTACAGAAGATAGTAGAGGGAAAACTCTAATCCAATAAAAACTACACCCAAGAAAACACAGAATATAGAAAACTTCACAACAAAAAAATTAGAAGAAAACAAGTATTGAAATACAGTAACACCACCAACTCCACAATAATAGGAACTAATATACTTTGGTCACTATTATCTATCAACAGCAATGGACTCAAATCTTAAGAAAAAGACAGACTATCAGAATGGTGGCAGAAACAAGACCCAACATTCTGCTGCATCCAAGAAATTCACCTTTGCAACAAAGTAAAAAACTACCTCAGAGTAAAGGGCTGGAAATTTTGTATCGAGCACATGGACCCAAAAAGTAAGCTGGGATAGCTATCCTAACATCTAATAAACTAGACTTTGAAACAAAATTAATCAAAAAACATGAGGAGGGGCACTTCATTCTCATCAAAGGAAAAATCTATCAGGAGGACATCACAATCATGAACATCTATGCCCCAAGTGAAAGAGCACCTACATTTGTAAATAACACATTATTAAAGCTTAAATCATACAACGATCTCAATACCTCAATAGTGGGAGAATTCAACATTTCAATCTCACCAGGGACAGATCATCTAGACAGAAGCTAATTAGGGAAATAATGGCACTTACAGAGTTCTTAAATGAAATGGAACTAATTGAGATCTACAGAACTTTTCACACAAACTCACAAGAGTATTCCTTCTTTACAACACCTCATGGAACCATCCCCAAAATTGACCATATAATTGGTCACAAAGCAAGCCTCAACAAGTACAAGAAGAGCAAAATAATCACTTGTATCCTATCAGAACACCATGGACTAAAAATAGACTTCAACAACAACAACAAAAATATCAAAAAGCCTCCATACACAACTAAACAACTTTCTACTCAATGACAGCTTGGTCTGGGAAGAAATGAAAAAAGAAATTAGAGACTTCCTAAAATTCAATGAAAAAGAAGACAAAAGTTAACTAAACTTACGGGAAACAATGAAAACCGTGTTAAGAGGAAAGTTCATAGCACAAAGTGCTTCCAGAAAGAAGTTTGAGACATCTCATATAAGCAACTTAATGGCACACCTAAACACCCTAGGGAAAAAAGAAACAGACACACCCAAGAGGAGAAGACAATTGGAAATAATCAAACTCAGAGCTGAAATTAATGATTTAGAAGCAAAGAAAATATTGCAAAGAATCAATCAGATCAAGAGCTGGTTCTTTGAAAAAAATAGAAAAGATAAGCAAACCCTTTGTCCAAATAACTAAAAGGCAAAGAGAAACTATTCAAATCAGATAAATCAGAAACAAAAAGGGGGAAATTACCACAGACACTGAGGAAATCCAAACAATTTTTAGTTCTTACTTCAAAAGTCTGTATACCACAGAATTTGAAAATCTAAAGGAAATGGGCATTTTTCTTGATATATAATATTTAGCAAAATTAAATCATGATCAGGTAAATAGATTAAATAGTTCTATAACCCATAAGGAAATAGAAGCAGTCTTCAAAAGTCTCTCTTCCAAAAAATGAAAAAAAAATGCCAGGGCCAGATGTTTTCAGAGCAGAATTCTACCAGACCTTAAAAGAAGAGCTAACTCAAATTCACTTCAAACTATTCAACAAATTAGAAACAGAATGAATTTTAGCAAACTCATTCTGTATAGCTTCCTTGATTCATAAACCTAACAAATACCCAACAAAGAAAGAAAATTTCAGACCAATTTCCCTTATTAATATTGACAGAAATGTACTCAGTAAATCTTGTACAAACTGAATCAAGGAAAACATCATATATATCATCCACTATGACCAGGTAGGCTTCATCCCAGGTATGCAGGAGTATTTCAATACATGGAATTCCATCAATATAATCTATCATCTAAACACACTGAAAGAAAAAAAAAAAAAAGAAAAAAAAGAAAACATGGTCATCACCTAGATGCTGAAAGGTCATTTGATAAAATCCAGCAACCTTTCATATTTAAAGTATTTTTTAATTTGTATTTTTATATTAATTACATTTTATTCAATTTGTATACCAGCTGTAGCTCCCTCCTTCCTCCCTTCCCAATCCTACCCTCTCTCTTTCATCTCTTCCTATGTCCCTCACAAAGTCCATAGATAGGGGAGTCTCTCCTCTCCTTTCAAATGACCCTAGCTAATCTGTTCTCATTTGAAATGGCAGCAATGTCCTCCTCCGTGTCTTAGAAGGCTGCTCCCCCATCCAGGGGAGGCAGTCAAAGAGCTACCCACTGAGTTCATGTCAGAAACAGTCCCTGTTACCCTTACTAGGGTACCCACTTGGATACTAAGTTGTTAGGGGCTACATCTGAGCAGGGTTCTAGGTTATATACATGAATGGTCCTGGTTGGAGTATCAGTCTCAGAAAAGACCCCTGTGCCCAGATATTTTGGTTCTGCTGCTATGCTCTTGGATCTCCTGTCATCTACAGGTCTTACTATCTCCCCCTTCTTTCCTAAGATTCCCTTCACTCTGTCAAAAGTTTGTTTATGGGTCTCATTGTCTGCTTTTTTTTTCAATACTTTCTTTTTCTTTTTTTTAATTACACTTTGTCCACTTTGTATTCCCCCATAAACCCCCCCTCCTCCCCTCCCAATCCCGCCATCCCTTTATACAATGCTGGTTAGAGTCTTTCAGAGGCCCTTCTTTGAAAGCTCCTGTCCTGTTTCCTGCTTTCTCCTTCTTCCAAAGTTAGTACCGTTTGCCTTCCTGAGTGAGGACTGATATTCTTACCTGGGGTCCTCCTTCTAGCTGGCCTACTTTAGGTATTCAG